TTTATTGAATTTGTAAACTTCCTCTTTTAAGAAATGTTTCAGATTAAGGAAGGTTCTTAAAGCCATGATACTCCTGAGGACAAATGGATTTTATCTTTTTCTGACCTCCCTTTGAAAGGATGGAAGGCTGGGGATACTTGACAGCTAATGGCCTAAATGTTGAGGGATTGGGCCATATTATTTTTCTTTCAGGTACAACTTCTCTGATTAGAATATCTTCTCTGTCTCTCAACTTTGATATTCTTGCACCAGAGCTGAACAAGTATAGCCAACTCCAAAGGCCTGTGGTGGTGGGGATCAGGAAGTATGGAGGAATTCCCTGCCTCCCGCAGGCTGTGAGGGTGATCACTGCCCGCCACCAAAACACATGCTGCTTCAGGTTCTCAGAAGCCACGCCCATGGGCTGATGGAGATGGACCTGAGCTGTGAAGACCAACAGAAGGGCCAGAAGGGAGGAGAAACACAGGATGTGGCCGGAGACATAGTCAGGTGCGAATACCCAGGGCAGCAGCGCCTTTAAAAGGCTCCACTCCCGCAGGGGCAGAGGCAGAACCTGGCTGGGGCCTGACTAGGAGCTCATCAGCAAGGGAAATGAGTCACACAAAAGGCTCCACCCCTCAGCAGCAATATTCAAGACAGCGTGTGATATGGTTTGGATGTTTTGTGCTCTCCAAATCTCATGCTGAAATGTGCCTTCCAGGGTTGGAGGTGGGGCGCAGTGGGAGGTGTTTGGGTCATGGGGATGGATCCCTCACGAATGGCGTGATGCTGCCCTCGCTCACTCTGTGAGTTCACAGGAGATCTGATTGTTTAAAAGAGCTTGGCCGCTCTTCTCTCTCTCTTGCCCCCTCTCTTGCCATGTGATGTACTGGCTCCCCTTACCCTTCCATCATGATTGGAAGCTTCCTGAGGCCTCACCAGAAGCAGATGCCAGTCCTATGCTTCCTATACAGCCTGCAGAACCTGAGCCAAATAAACCTCTTTTCTTTAAGAATTGCCCAGCCTCAGGTATTCCTTTATGGCAGAAAAAAAAAAAAAAAAAGACTAACAGTGTGGTTAGTGGACTAACACATTTATCCTGCCATGAGGATAAACTTATAAATCAACAAAACTAAATAGAGTCCAGAAACATTCCTGTATGTGTATGCTTAATTGATTGTGGACAAGTTTGCTAGCTGACAGGGAAAGAATTGTCTTTCAACAAATGGTGCTGAGACAAGTGGACAGACGCACACAAAAGAACCAACACCATACACAAAAGATTAACTCAAAATGGATCAAAGACTGAAATGTAAGACCTAAAACCATAAAACTCTTAGAGGAAAACATAGGAGTAAATCTTCACGATCTTGGATTTGGCAATGAAGATATCATCTGCATCTGAAATATGACAGCAAAAGCATAAGCCACAAAGGAAAACAATAGATAAATTAGGCATTTTTTGCACTTCAAAAGATACCATCAAAAAAGTGAAAAGCCAACCCACAGAAAGGGAAAAATATTTGCAAATCATATGTCTCATAAGGGACTTATATCGAGAATATTAAAAATAATTTTTACAACTCAATAATAAAAAACCAAGTAACCCAATTGAAAAATGAGTACAGGGTCTAAATCGATATTTCTCCAAGGAAGATCCATAAAAATGGTACATGAAAAGATGCACAACATCATTGGTCATCAGAGAAGTGCAAATCAAAACCACCTCACACCCACTAGGATGACTACAATCAAAGTCAGACAATAACAAGTGTTGGCAAGGAGGCGGCATCATTGGAACTCCCATACACTTTGCTGATGGGAATGCAAATGGTGAAGCCGCTTTGGAAAACTGTCTGGCAGCTCCTGAAGGATTACACAGAGTTGCCATGTGACCAGCAATTCTACCATTACATCTACACCCAAGAGCAATGAAAACAGGTGTTCAGTCAAAACCAGCACAAATGTTCAGAGAGGCAGTATCCATAATAGCCAAAAAGCGTGCACGATTAAATGTCCATCAGTGGATGAATGGATGCACAAATATGGTATATCCATACAATGGAATGCTATTCAACAGTGAAAAGGAATTGCAGAAGGCTTGAGAGACTTGGGGGCTTATCAAGGGAAAAGAGGTGACCACGAAGGGTAAGTACACACACAAGCTTTACTGGGCTTGGGACACCATTGCATGAGTAGGGAACTCCCTAGCAGCATGACACCTTCAGGCAGCATATGGCAGGGGTGTGGGGGGATACACCTTCCAGAAGGGGAGGAGGCAAGGGAAATGGGAAGAGGGACAAAAAGGAGGCTTCTGTGCCTAGGAGCTGTCGCTTAGCAGCATGGCAGGGAGTCTCTGGGTCTGAGAGCCTAGGACGGTAGTAGCACGTTGGGGCTGTTCTTACAGCCTGGAGGCTCAGTTTTGTCGGTGTCTGGCAGGGAGTGAGTCAGGTCCCCTAAGGAATGCAAAGCAGGCAGGCCCTAAATGGCTAAAGGTCTGCTTGTGTCTGCAATTCTCAAAACAACTGATGTGTACATTTCTGAGTTTGGTGCCATGGGGGTTTTGAGCTAAGAGGTCTCAGCCTTCAGTGAAGAAATGAACAACCCACAGGTCGCTACTCAGAACCATCTTTGGCTCATTTATATAAGAAGAATGAATTGCTGATGTGTGCTCCAATGGATGACCCCAACCAAATTATACTAAGTCAAAGAAGCCAGGCACGAAAGACCGCATACAATATGATTCCACACGAAATGTACAGATGAGGCAACTCTATGGGGCAGACAGGAAATTCGTGGCTGGCAGGGCTGGGCGCTGAGTGGGGATGGTGGGCATGATAGCTGAAGGTACAGTGTTTCTTCGTAGGATGATGAGGGTTCTGAAGTTGATTGTGGTGATGAGTGCACAACTGTGTGAAAATACTAAAAACCATTGATTGTGCACTTTAAATGTGTGAATTGTATGGTATTTAATCAAAGCTATTCCAAAAAAAAAATAGATTAAAACTTAACAAAAGTCTCCACCCACAGGCTGCTGAGGTTTCAGTATTAAATGAGCAGAGTGGCCCTTCTTGAATGAGAACACAAAAGCTGCTAAATGGCCCTCCTTTGAGTGAAGACACACTCCTGCTACCCAGCCTGAGTCCCCAGGTCTGGATTTTCGGATGACGTGAGCCTTGTACCCAGGCTGATAAGTAATATTATACCACATATATTCTTTTTCTAATTACTCAAATGTACAGAAATTACGGAACATTTGCAGGAATGGTATTAATATAAAGAACACCAATATAACCTTTGCCCAGATTCACTAACTGTTAGCATTTTACCACATTTGCGATATAACTCTATTATCTGTGTATCTGCCTGTCTGTCTATCTATCTATCGTCTGTCTAAGAGAGAGAACATACGGTATATTTCTGACCTCTCAATGCTGTTTCGCTGATGTATAAGTTTATCTTTGTGGTAGGAACACACTGTCTTGATGATGCTGCTTGAAGATGGTACCTTTAATGTCACTCATTCCCCCAACAAACTACCATGGTCAGTCCCCAGCCCAGGCCCTGCCCTTGCCCCTAAGGGTGTGGTGCCTTTTAGAGGTGCTCCTTCCCTGGGCATTAACATGTGGCTGTGGGTCTGGGTTTCTCCTCCTTTCCAGCCTCTCCGCCGTCTTTCTGTTGGCCATTTCACAGCTCAGGAACATTTCCATGGTGGTGTCTTACAAATTCCCATCAGAAGGGATGGATCAGAACAGAAAACGCTCTGTTATGCGTTAAATTTTGTATCCGCCAGGTTCCTAAGTTGAAGTCTAACCCTGAGGAACTTGGAATGTGACCATCTTGGGAGACAGAGACTTTACAGAGGTCATCAAGTTAAGGTGAGGTCATTAGGATGGGCTCTCATCCAGTGTGACCAGTGTCCTTATAAAAAGGGGAAACACAGGGAAATGCTTACAAGGAAGGCAAGATGAAGGGGAGAAGACAGACTTCTGCAAGTCCAGGGCAGAGACCTTCCCTCACGGCCTCACCAGGAACAGCCCTGGTTTGCTGGATGCTGTGCCTCTGTGCTCCAGACTGAGACAGTGAACCTCCGTTGTTTGCGGTGCTTTGTCACGGTCACCCGCGTAGGCTCCTTGCTCCCCCTCCTGGTCCCTCAACCAAAATGTGTCCTCTTTGCCTTGATGGATATTTCATTTGAAGAATGGCATTGGTTGGTTTAAAAGAAAAGTTTGGAAGTTCATTGTTCTCATCCACACTTCTCTCAGACGGGAGTGCTGATGACCACTGAAATGATCTCTCTGAAGTGACAGAGTCCTTTTTTATAACTCACCGTTTGCTTTCTTGGAGGATGAAGAAAAAAGGAAGAAAGAGAAAGAAGGAGACTGGACCCCAGTCCCTGTGAGGCTGCTGGTGGCTGCTGAAGGAAGACCACAGCTGCCTTGGCTTTGCAAATCGGCACAGCCAGACACAACTCACTCTGCTGCAGGCCAAGCCCTAGGCAGCGACAGCATGGCCACTGCCTCCCGGGTGCAGATGCGATTACCTTCACTGTCTTCTCCTGCCCAACTCAGCACCTCCCCCTCTGTTTGCTCCTGGGCGGTCCCTGCCTTCCAGGATGTGCTTGGGTGACTGGTCACTGGGTTCCTGGGGACTATCAGCTCCTGGAGGTTCTGAAGCAGCTGTTGCAAGATTATAAATCTCTTTGGTCTGTTTCATGGTGTTCCCTGCTCCTCTCCTCTCTTTAAATCTTCCTTGCTCCCCTGTCTTGAATATTTGTGATAGAGAGAGGTAGAGGGACGTCTGGCGCATTTGGTTTTACAAAGCTCTGGATCCAATCGGTGTTGCCAAAGATTGGATCACGTCTTCTCTAGATGGTTTCGTAAGTTTCTTATGTTCATTATGTCATGTCCCCCTCCCTCAGCCAGAAAAGCTTGCATCAGCAAAAGTTGAAGCTGTTGCATGTGATTACTGGAAATGAGTTAACTGAAAACATGCCTGTTCAGGGAAACCACAGAGGCCATGCTTTTGCACGGACTCCATGCCAAGCCGTTGTTTCGGCGTGGGAGCCTAGGGCTGCCCTCGAGATGTCCTCGGTCCTGGGTGCAACAAGGTACACAGTCTCTAAAACCCTTTGCTCCGAGTCTTGCTTACTTCAGTGACATCTACTCCAAGCCATCACTGGACTTCACCCTTGGCCTTATTCTGTGGTCCTGGGAGAAGGAGCAGGGAACACTCTACCTCAGGAACAAAGGTCGCAATGGAGCTACCCTTGTCCACCTGGCTATGCTGTTATGACCAATGGTGCTGCTGTGTCCCACTCTGACTTTACCCGTAAAAACAGGCAGTGGGCCAGATTCGGCCTGCAAGCCTCTTTTTTCTTTTCTGGTGTTTGTTTTTGAAACAAGGTCTGGCTTTGTCACCCAGGCTGGCGTGCAGAGGTATGACCACAGCTGGCTGCAGCCTCAATCTCCTGTGACCTGCAAACATCTTATTGATAAGTCACTTTGCCTCTCTGAGTCCTAATGTCTTCATCTATGAGTTCTCTAAATATCCCCTGTGACCTTTCAGTTTGCAGGTCACAAGCAGAATCATTGGAACAATTCAGCTGGAATCCCCACCTGCCCTGAGATGGGGCATCAGCCCTCTCTGTGCCTCTTGGAATCCTGAGTGTGTGTGTGTGTGTGTGTGTGTGTGTCTGTGTGCGTGTCTGTGTCTGTGTGCGTCTCTGTGTGTGTGTGTAGTATACATGTCTCTGTGTGTGCACATATATAAATACATAATCCCTCTGCTCTGTGTGGCCCCTCATCCGCCCACCCACCTGTCTGTTTACCCCCCAGTGTACCCTGAAGCCAGGGCCCCGCTGCTAAAGCTCTATGCAGGCAGTTCAGTGTCATGGCCCCGTTTCTCCACGCAGGTCCCACTCACAGTGACCTCCATGCCTCAGCCACCTGCCCTTGGTCCCTGACTCCCCTGACCCCCAGGAGAGCTGGTTCTGTCTCTCCCTGCCATCACTGCCGGTCTCCCTGTGGCGGGGAACACGCCCGGTGCTTGGATCCTGGGTGCTGTAATTCACCCCGTGTCGTCTCACAGCCCCGGTGAGAGCGAGGCTCCCTGGCAAGGAGGGCTCAGTGTCTTCAGGGAGCTGTAAAGTAGACACCTGTGCCTGGATGTGCCGCTCCCTCCTCACTCACATCGGTGTCCTGTCCACCCAGCGTGCTGAAGGCCCCCCTCACCTAGGGAAGGTTCCTACTCAGGGAATTCTCCGCACCCCCATTCCCCAGAGGGTCCCAAGTCCTTCAGACATTTTTGAATCTCACTGTGGCTTAAGTTCTTTTGAGCGGGGTCCTAGGAAAATCAGGACAGATGGCTGGACTCCAGTTTGTGTGACCCTGAGAACTTAGTCACAATTAGGGTGGCTTTGTCTGCCCAGAGCACACAGAGGCCCCCTGGGAACCAGCACCCAACTTCATATCCCACCAGCTCTGAGTCTCAAGTCGTCCAAGACGCTCCCCCTCTCGTAGAACGAGTTTTACTCTATTGCATCCAACTGCCTTGCAGGTCTGAACTCCTGTGGCACCTCAGCAATAACTAGGGGAGAAAGAGCAGAGTATTAGGCCTTCCCTGGACCAACTGGTGTAACCAGGGAAAAAGGTATAAAGCCGGTGGCAATTCTGAACACCCTGGCTGTGTACAAGAACTCCAGGTTTGGAAGCCTGTCCTTTTGGCTACTAGCAAGAGCGATAGTCAGCGTGGAAGAGTGAATGCAGAGCCGCGTGGTTCTGGGCTCACTATGCAAAAACCCAGATCTCACCCAGAATCCTCCTCCCAGCGAGGCAGGTTTGCTGCACAGCGCTCATGACGTCCAGGGCTTTAGCCAGTTAGAGTCACATTGTGCAGCTGAAAGGCCCGTTCTCCCAGGCAGAGGTGACTACTGAGTGTATCACTTGTCTCCTGCTGTGACAGAAACCTCCTCAATGCTTGGAGACTTAAATTGACAGCTGATTATCTCGATTCTGAAGTTTGGTTTCTCCACTGAGTCACCTGGGCGCACTCGCATGGCTGCATTCGGCTGGAGGGTCAGCTGGGCTGAAAGGTTCAAGTTCAACTTGGACCGTGCAGATCAAGCCTTGGAGTTCACATAACCCCACCTCTGATGCAATCTGTTGGTCAAACCAAGCCATGTCATGCCCAAATATAGGAGGAAGGGGAGCAGATTCCACCTCCTGATGGAAGTCATGGCAAAGTCGCCTCACAAGGCATCTTGGGCTAATTGATGCAGCCATCTTTGGAAGAGGTTAGAATAGCAACACAGGTGTGAAGTCCCCCAACCACTCCTGGCCTTGTGCAGGGAAGACGTGGCAGGAGAGGCCTACATTCCTCTCTAGACACAGGCTTTCTTTGTAGAAAAAAAAGGGCGGCGGCGGGGTGGGCAAAAGGACTCTGACATCTTTGGTTGAAGGCTCAGAATGGAGTTTCTGCCTCTAACTGTTAGGACTGTCTAGGTTGCAAGTGACAGGAACCCGGTTCAAACTAGCTTCGGCCAAAAGGAGAAACGTTACCGTGATGGTGGATCCCAGTGGCAGGAAGGCGGCAGCCTTGGACACTGCAGGAAGCAGAGGCCCCACGACTGTCTTTGCTTCTGCTTCCTGTTTCTCTGGAAGGCTCTGGCTTCCTTCTCCCTGGCTGTGCAGTGCATTCCTCCGTGTGGTGGCAAATATGGCTCCCAGCATCTCCGGATTTTACAACTGTCGGCGAGAAATAGACTCTGTCTCCTGTGTAGTTTCAAGTTCAAGTACACTGGGGAAGGAATTCATTAACTCCTTCCCAGGAGTTTGGGGCTGGTCTGCAGAGCAATGAACCATGCGCAGGAGCAGGGCCAGGCAATACTATCAAGGCGGCCACGGAGCCACGTTGGTGGGGTGTGGCAGGGTATCCGGAGGGCAGGTGTGGGCTGCTGGCCGGCAAATCCATGGGCATGCACTCACCGCCCTCAGAGCGGACAGGCAGGAGTGGCTAGAGGGACAAAACCCAGCGTCAGGCTGCCTGCACTGGGGTCTCCATTTCACCCCGCGTTACCTGAGTGTGGTACTAAATCCTCTGTGCCTCCATTTCCTCATCTCTGAAATGGACATAGGAGTTCTTCTACAGTTTGGAGGATATCAGTGAGTTCATGTATGTGCTACGGTCTTAATATTTATCCCCTCCAAAACTCCTTTTGAAATTGAATCCCCAGTGTGGGTGCATTGAAGGGTAGAGTCTTTAAGAGGTGACTGGATCATAAGCACTCTGCCCTCATGAATGGGTTGATTCATTCATGGATGGATGGATTACTGGGTTAATGCATTGATGAGTTATTAGGGAGTGGAATGGTGGCTTTATAAGAAAAGGAAGAGAGACCTGAGCTGGTGCTCTCAGCCCCCTCGTCAGGGGATGCCCTGTGCCACCCCGAGACCTGGCAGAGCCCCCACCAGCAGAAGGGCCCTCGCCAGATGCACTCCCCCTCCAGATTTCCCAGCCTCCAGAAATGTAAGACATAAATTCCCTTTCTTTATGAATTACCCAGTTTCAGGTGTTCTACTATAAGCAATAGAAAACAGACTTAAGACAATATGCAATCGAATCGTCTGAAACAACTTCAGAGGCCGTAGTGAGTGCTCACAATGTGTTAATTATTAATAATAAGAGGAACAGAGTTGATTCTATTGATTACATTGATATGATATGATGCAATATATAGATGTCCAAAAGAGTCTTTTTTTGTTGCTTGTTTCCTGGAACTGAAACGATTAACTTGGGGGAAAGTGTGTATGAAGGGTCTTTTGTCTACCTCAGAACTGTCCCCCGGGGGCTCACTGGGGAGGTGTTTTTCTCTTCTATCCACCGATGCGCGGAGAGCCTGCCCCACGTCAGCCACTGCTCTGCGGACGCCATGGGGAATCAGGGCCGACTTCCTGCCATTGAGTGGCGGGACATACTCCGGGTTTCACATGTAAATGTGCTTTTCTAAGAAAGTAAAGTGTATCAGGCCTAAGGTTGTGTCAAACATAGCAGTTTTCAAAAACGTCACAGCAGATGGCCTGAACTAGATTTGGGGCTGCACACACAGCAAACCTTCACTTCTGGTCTAGCCAAATAGTTACTTTCTTCAATTTTCCGAAATTCCTTCAACTTTTGCCACCATCCATCCACCAACATTAATCTCCTGTATTCTGCTATTGGTCAAAGGAAGGGAAAGAAGATTTCCTGAGTGATCCTCTGGGCAAATACCATAGACCAAAATCTGCACTGAGGTGCGAGTTTTGCAGGAAATTTGGCCCGTGGGCTCCCCCCTCCCCCCACTAATTCGTACATACTTTGTAGCCATTTCTCCTTTCCATTTCCAAAATGAACTTTTCTGAAATCATCTTTGTGAAGAACAGACTTTATCTCTGGAGAAGGCGCTCGGGGAACACAGCTACCATATTTTGCTGTCCTCACCGGGTCACTGAGGGCCATGTCCCGGGCTCCCAAAGTAAGCAGGACCTGCAGACCCTTCTGAGTCCTTCGGGGATAGCCAAGGGGGGCTGGGTGTCCATCCCTTTAGGAAAATATTTGAACACAGCTGGTACCCTCCTTCCTGCCACCCATGTGGTTGTGTTTTTAAATATGGCTTGAACTTGAAGCAGTTTCCATTTATAAAAATTCCTTTGCAAAATGTTCTTTCCAATAACAATATTCCCATGTGTGCTTTTGCTTCTGATATTTTTCTTATAAATTAATCTGCTGAAACAGAGTCCTCTTGGCCTTTGGCTTTCGGTGTCCGCAAATGCTCCTGCCCCCACCCTGCGGTTTTGGGACCTCCTGCTTTGGCACTGGGACTCAGAAAGGTTAGATTGCCTTCTTTTCATTCCTGGGAGCTTATCTTAGGCGGTTTCCACAGTCTGTGCTGTGCTCAGGGCCAGATGTGCAGCCACGGCCTCCACACAGCCTCTGAGGCTGCTGGCCCCGAGCAAGCCCAGGCAGGCACCTCCAGGACCACCGCGCATGCCCATCCT